GGAGGTTCCTCAAAAAACTAAAAATAGAACCACCATATGACCCAGCAATCACAGCTGGGTATATATCAAAAAAAAGGAAATCAGCATATCAAAGAGATATCTATGCTCTCATGCAGCCCTATTTCCAATAGCCAAGATAAGGAATCAACCCAAATGTCTATCAATGGATGAATGGATAAAGAAAATGTGGTATATACGCACAATGGAATATTATCCTGCCATAAAAAAGAATGAAACCCTGTCATTTGCAGCAACATGGATGGAACTAGAGGATATTATGTTCAGTGTTATTTAAGCTAGGCGTGACAAATATTAATATTGTCTTTAATATTAATATTATCTTTCTTAAGCCAGAAAGACAAATACTGCATGTTCTCACTTGCATGTCGGAGCTAAAAAAATTGATCTCACAGAGGCAATGACTAGAATGGTAGTTACCAGAGGTTGGGAAGGATAGTGGAGAGGGGGAGATAGAGAGAGGTTGGTCAATGGGTACAAAAATACAGTTAAATAGAAGGAATAAGATCTAGTGTTAGTTAACAACAATTTATCGTATATTCAAAATAATCAGAAGAGTAGATTTGGAATGTTCCCAACACAAAGAAATGATAAATGTTTGAGGTGATGAATATCCTAATTATCCAGATTTGATGGTTACACATTGCATGCTTATATCAAAATGTACATGTATCCTATAAATATATACCACTATTATGTCTCCATAAAACTGAAAACTAAAAAAAAAATTTAAAAAACCCCAAACCTGAATGGCTCAATCTACCTGGGTCCCTCTTATGGCTTGTTTTAACAGAGGGATGACAGCAGTGTGAGACAAAGTAACAAACATAAGCAGCCGTGTTTGCTCAATTTTGCTTTCCAGCATAATTTCACAAAGCCCCTGGCTGTTAAGACGTGCAGCTCTCTGGAAAAATGCTTTGAAGACAAAATAGGAGAAAGGACAGAGCCATCTACATCTTTTGCATGAGTCACTATATTCCTTAAATGATAAACGACCCTAGTCCTTGCTTTTCTTGTACATAAGATAATGTCCAACAGGGTTAGTGATATGCTCTATAATCTATAACAAGATGTACTCTTACATCCAAACCTTGATGTGATTCTGCTTTAATCTAACTTCTAAGCAAGTCTGATGTGATTTTTCATGTACTGAACCCCTACCACCTATATATAAGCAGGGGCTGACACACTGTCCTGGAGCTGTCTAAAGGACTGCTCCTGGGCTATAGACCTTACTCTATGGTTCTCAGTAGGATTTCTAAAAAAACTCTAACTTTAATTCTTTAAAAGCTTGATTTTTTTTTTTTCCTTTAGTCAACAGCAGGAACAATGACTCCTTCACAGTGGTTTCCAACATCAATTAGCCAGATGACTCTATGGGAGAGGGTGCCTGTTTTCATTCACCTTACACTTGGTAAGACCGGCAAATAGGTTTATCTGTAAAAGAATTTTGTCTTTTGCCTTTCTCTCCCCTTCTTACTCTGATGGCTTTCGTCTTCGTCCTCTTCATCTCGGTACTGAATGGGCCCCTCTGAATCAGAGTCACTCTCCTTCTCTTCTTCCTCCTGCAGACATTGCGGTAGCTTAGGAATGACTGAGGTAGACACCACATCTTCACTGAATGCAGATGGGCAGATCTGCTCCTCTTCTTCATCGTCTGGACTAACAAATTAACATAATTATATTTTCTTTTAAGAAACAAAGAGGATAACTGATTTTTAAGACAAAGGGCTAAAATAACTATGGAAAAGTCTATGAATGAAATATTAATAACTTATAATTCTCTCCCTTAACTTTAACGATTTTGCTAAGAAAGTTTTTGGCAGCTATTAATCAAAGGGCTATGGGTTCAAGTCCCAGCTCCACCACTTACTAGGCACTGGTGCTTTCGAGAATTTGTCTAGTATCATTCTCACAAGCCTACAGAGTATATATCATTCCCATTTACAAATGAGATAACTAAAGAGCAGAAATGTTAAGTTAACTTATACTACTATAAGCTGAAAGTGCTTGTAGACTTAGAATTTGAATCCAGGGCTATTTTACTCCAGGTGAATGCTCTTAAGCACCATGTTATATACACTGCCTTCCTTATACCATATAAAGCTAGTGGTTTTAATTTTCATGTACTTAAGTTTGTAATGTTTGTGTCATCATGGAAATCTCCATTAAAAAAAAAAGGAAGAAGAATGAAATCAAGCAGGGTGAAAAAAGTCCAAATTCTAGGACTTACCCTTTTGACAAAGTACTCTTTGTATTTTAAATTTATTCACATTTTCCTTTTATAAGTAAGTTTTTCCAAGCAGGGCTTCCTACAGTAAAAAAGGAGAAACAAGAGGCAAGCTTTAAAGGTACTCACACTTTCAGCATTTCAATAGTGATGGGAAGTGACCTGGTCCGACCCAGGGTACTGCTGTCCTGAGAAAAGTTGTCGCTGTTCTCGAAGAGCAGGGAATGAGCTCTGTGAGAGCCCTCCAAGGAAGGAGTCATGGGAAGTGGGCTGGTCAGGGCCTGCTGGATTCGAATATGCAGTGGGAGTGGGGGCAGTCTAGAAGGTATATGGGGCTCCCCAAAGCTCTGGTCCAATATCCTTTTGGGGACTTCTTTTTTCTGATCTTCCTGCTGGGGAACTTCCTGGGGTAGATCTAAGGATGGTGGGAACTCAATTTCTGGCACAACTGGAAAAGTCTTAGTAGGGAACGGAGGGGAATGTGGAGGCTCTGGAGGTATATGACTAGGCAGTGGGGGGGACGGAGAGGGTGGTGGGATGATCGTCAGCGGTTCAGAGCCTACAGAGTACATGCTCTTCTCTCTTTGATCACTTGGTGTTTTTGTGGTGATGGCAGCAGCAGACTCCGAGGTGGGTACCAAGGTTGATGGAATGCCTCTCTTAGGTGGTAAGGGTGGGGATGGTTTTGATAACAATGTACCACTGTTTATTGCTTGGGACAGTTCAGCTGGAAAAGAGAGAGTAACACGTCAATTTAACATGGCTTTACAATGCCTTAAGGGACCAGCCCATGGCCTAGAATTAGAGCTGAGCTTAATTTTAATCTTTCAAGCAAATTATATAATTTCATGGCTCCTTACATATCTCATCCTGAAACAAAATTTATATTTATTCAAATAGAAGGTTTAATAAATATATAGAGGTATAGAAAGACTTCAGTGAGTATC